TTGGTACAGGATAAGAAGGGTGTCTCATAGGAAGAGGCATAAAAATACATAAATATTTCTCCTAAATACAGGGGTAAAGTAATTTAATTAAATAATCCTGACAAGGAAATAATAGACCTGCTTTGAAATGCATTAGACTCCCAATTTAGTGATCTTATCTCTCCTTTCTCAGACCAAGGCCTTTGTTAAGATCATTTATTTTACAAAACAATAAATAGTGTAATCTTTATTCACACAATAGGGATAAGATTCTTATGCCACGCCATGTCATGTATTAGTCTGCCATCTACAGGACACATACTGTATCTGTCAAGCGTTTAATTCAGGGCCTTCTCTGTGCAAAGGGTTCAGGTAGGCCAGAGGTTGGATATGTTAACATGAATGAACCACTGCGTTAGGATTACTCACCGAAATGAAGTGTGGACTTTATAAGTGTGAGGCCTTTGCAAACCCCAGTCAACCTCATCTGAAATAGGCCTAGAAGAAAATGTATTTTTATCATAGCTGTGTCCCTGTTGAAAAAAAAAAGAAATATAACAATTTATAGGCTAATTTTCATGGCCACATAAGCCTACACCAAACAAGATTAATGAAACAAAACCTCTTTTGCATTCTACTTAGAGTCAAGTAAAGTGGAACATGCAAACGTGCAATTTGTTCGTTTAGAAAAGCACAAAAACGATAAATGAGCAGAATAAAGTGAAAAATAGAAAACTCAAGCATCCGATTCATGCAGATGGAGAACAGTTTGAAGTTTGGGGAGATACTAACTGACAATAAAATTCTACAGTTCTACAATTTCATCCAGCAGATGCTTTCATCCAAAGCAACGTACATCTGAGAGCAGATACAACACAAGCAAGGATCTAGTCAGGAGAAAACAAACTGGATCAGTGCCATGGAACAAATTCAAGTGTGACAGGGCTTTGATGCCAATAGCAGTCTGTGTGGGAGGTAAAAGGATGCTGTTGTTCTTGTTGTTTTGTTTTTTGTTTGTTTGTTGACCTGGTATTGTGCTTTTTCATCAAATCCATCAAACTAAACAAAATATTCACTTTATTTTTTTCTGTCTGCTATAATTTTTGCTTGTTATGTACATTTGCTGTGATGCTCTGTGGTTTTGCGTTACGATGCGGTACAGTTGAGCTCATGCACTTACATCAACATGTTCAGGTGTCATTTAAGCTCATGTTAGTTCTGATTTGGATTTATCCTTGAAGCCTCCTTTCTGGGATGGTCCCTAGATTCATAGAAAACACACACTAAAGCAGCCAGTGTTAGAAAATGATCAATATTTACACTGACTGGTGAGTGTGTACATTACCCCACCTGTGTGTCTGTTAATCGATGCATATTGATCAGCTACAGCAGACACATCCACATCCACATCCACAGATACACTACACCTCTGTCACTGATGCAATTCATTCACGAGCTCTTTACTTTAACTTTAACCAGCCTAACTAAACACCTAACCCTGACCCTTACCCTCACTCTAACCTACAGGCTAACTAATTTACCCTGAACTCTTAAATCAAGTTTTAAAGCTTACATTTGAAGTTTTTAAGGCCTGCCCTGAGCTAAACACAAGTCATAATGTATGTTTCCAGCAGGTCCCAAAGTCTAAAAATCAAAGTGGTCCAGACAAAGATAGACATGATAGTAAACACACACAGAGTCGATGGTTTGGACACGTGTCGCATAAGCTGATAAGGAACGCAAGGACCTCCTCTGATCATCAGGGGCTCTGACTGTTTTTAACTATAAACTCATACAACGCAGCTGAAAAAGGCTGCATCATCTGGCTAAAACAGAGAGGGGAGCGTGACGAAGATGCAATAACTATTTATTCTATAGGTCAACCTGAGTCTGCCTGTAACTTAGTCCTCAAGTTTATCAGAAATACATGGATTAGGTACAACACTGAAAACACCGACTGAATATTGTTTGGGTCCTTTCCCCCAAAACAGCTCTAATTCACTGAGGCATGCACGCCACAAGAACCCTGAAGGTGTCCTGTGGTAACAGGTTCAAATATATCCACAGCAGGTCCTGGAAGTTATGAGCTGAAGATCCACAAACGCATAGCTCAGCACAGGAGCTCCTCAGGACAGGACTCAGCATCCACCTTCATCTTAAGGACAAAGGACACTCATTTGAAGACAACGACGTACAGATGTTGTCCTGCAGGGAGGACAGATGGTTTGAGAGAGGGCTGAAAGAAGCCATCTATGTCAAACTGGAAAGAGCATCCCTCAGCAGAGGTGGAGGTCTGAGGCATCCCCTGTTTACAGCTCAGTCCTCAGATCTCTCCCCAGGAAGATGAACCCACATCCACACCTAGCCACTAAGACCCTAACGAACCCCACTGTGTCAGGGGGAGCACCAAACACCCAATTGAACCCGAAACTCAGGTGTTAATGTCTCCTTCAGGATATCAGGATGTGGAACTCCCAACCAGTCAGTCAGAGCTGATGAAGCCTCTTGGATGAAGGTGGAACGTCTTCAAGGAACTCAAGCAGGTCCAGCTGCTACGATTAACCCATGAGAATAACCGTGACCTGGATGACAGAGAATCTTCACAGTTATGAGGTGAAGCCTTCATGGTGCTGACTTGTTTTTCCAACACATCCCACAACTGCTCAATTGGATTGAAATCTGGGGAACCTGGAGGCCAAGTCAACATTTTGAACTCTTTGTCATGTTCCTCAAACTATTCCCAAACTATTCCCTAACTATTCCCAAACTAACAACTTGTACAGAGGTCACATTATCCCGCTGCCATCAGGAGACACTGTTGCCATGCAGGGGCGTACGTGGTCTGTAACGATGTGGAGGTAGGTGACAAACACCAAAGTGAAATCCACATGAGTTGCAGGACTCAAGGTTTCCAAGCAGAACATTGCTCAGATCTTCATTATGTCTCTACCAGCTTTCCTTCCACCCTCAGTGCATCCAGCTGCCATCTCCTAAGCAGGTAAATGGTACATGTGGACCCTGCCTTCCACATGATGGGAGAGAAAATGTGATTCACCAGACCAGGCCACCTTCTTCTATCACTCCATCATCCAGTTGTGATGCTAACCTGCCCACTGCTTTCAGTGGTGGACAGGGCTCAGGATGTTCACTCCAGCTGGCCTGCTTCTACTCAACAACTAATCAGTTACTGTTTAATTTATCCCACACTTTAACTGGTATCACTGTAAATGACAATCAGTGTTATCCACTTCATGTGTCAGTTGTTTTATTTTTGTAGCTGATCAGCGCATATCAATGCATGTATAGCTGAAGAGCTATAAATAAACTGCTTTAAGAAAGAGAAATACATGAAGAGCGTCCTCTGACATATTTGTTTTGCTGCAATATGCATAAATTATGCTGCAAAATCCCTTTACGCTTAAGTTTATATTCAATTGTCTAAGAGGTTTTTGAATTTGCTGGGTTCACTTGGTTCAGAAACCCGATGCAGGTATCATTTGGACATTTTTACATCACAGGATCCAAAGAGCAATCATTGGGAAATAATTCCAAACAGAATTGTAGATGCTGGTTACAAAATATGACTTTTGGCTGGATCACAGGAAACATGAGCTGATGTGGAGGTGAGTCCTCCTGGTTAAACACATAAAAGACACTCTTGCTGTGGAGTGATGCCAGAGTCTACTTCAGGTCAACTACTCCATAGGCTGGAAAGTTTGACTCCTAATAAGCCCCAATGTGCAACATTACAAAGTTCTGAAAGGTATCTA